ATCGATTTTTCAAAATCATATAAAGTCATATTATAACATCGACTGAGATAAAGAATAAAATGAAATATTAAAATCACGATGTATCTCGCTGCATTGCGCGAGTACGCTTCTAGTAATTATTTATTTTGTTAGAACTCGATAATTGTTATAATTACATTTTAGATTTTTTATATTTTAAAATGAGATGGTTATCCTCAGTTAGTTATACGAATTCAAAAATCGAGATTTAATAAGTTGTATTTATGTATAATTTACTTGTAATCTTGAATTTTAAGTGATAATATGCATCAATATACAGTACTTTATGCATAACAAAAATATATCGATATTCGTATCAAATTAACTATTTAAGATTCATCATTTTTTTGTGTAATTTTTAATCCAATTTTTTTATCATAATTTAATTTAGGTACAATAACGAAGTAATTTATATTTGGTTTAATAATACAATTTTTTATAAATATAATAATTAATTATTCTGTTAGAACTCGATAATTATCCTAATTATATTTTAGATTTTAAAATAAGATGTTTATCCTCTATTTAATTATGTTTATCCACAATTAGTTATATGAATTCATACATCGAGCTTTAATAAGTTGTACTTTTGCATAATTTACTTGTAATCTTGAATTTTAAGTAAACATTGGTTTTATGTGGTTTTAAGAAAGTGATAATGTTTTTATTTTTGAATAAAATATAAATTTAAAAATACCATAAAATTTTGAAAAAAATAATATCGATATCAGTATTAAATTATTCTTTTTAAAAGTTCTTGTGTTTTAGTGTAATTTTCTTAATTAAAATTTTTAATTATAATTTAATTTAGGTTCAAAGAAATTTAATTTAGGTTTAATAATATAATTTTTTATAAAGACAATAACTAATATTCTGTTAGTTATCAATGATTATCCTGATTATATTTTATATTTTTATATTTAAATGAGATGTTTATCCAATATTTGATTATGTTTATCTACAGTTAGTTTGACGAATTCAAGTATAGAGCTTTAATAAGTTGTACTTATGCACAATTTACTTGTAATCTTGAATTTTAAGTAATATGCATCAATAAACAGTACTTCGGACATAAAAAATTGTTTTTAAGAATTTTTTTCAAATGCTTTATAATATAGTATAGATATATATTTTTTTTAAAAACAAAAAATATGAGTAAAATGATTTAAAATATTAGATAGATAAAATCTTATTAATTGAAAAACGTATAACAAAAAAGCACCAGTGGTCTAGTGGTAGAATAGTACCCTGCCACGGTACAGACCCGGGTTCGATTCCCGGCTGGTGCAACCCACTTGAGCCATGATGACACGCCTACCTGATGGTTGGGTCCATCAATTCAGCTTGACTTTCAAGATTGACAATTCAGGCCCTTCTGAGCTCAACTTTTTACATTTCTGCCCCTTATTTTTCTTTCTTTCTCTTTCAATTGACTTCATCTTTGAAATTAGGACGCTGAATGGGGGATATAAATAGCGTTCTTGTTGTTACATGATCATCTTAATTGAGCTCAACTTCGGTCTGTGACTGTGAAGTAAAAGAAAAAGACTCTCACCGCATATATAAGCGAAATCTATGGGGGAAGATCATACACCAGTAAATTTCTCATTAATTTAGTTTTAATCAGTCTCCTTCTGCTTGAATTACCAGTTTTTTTTCCTTTTGTTTTGATTTTTGCATTATGCGGTGATTATAGTTGCCAGAAATGGGCTTCCGTTCTTTTTTGTATTCAATCCGGTATGAATTTGGATAAATTAGGATGAATTTCTATATAGATGAAGGTATATATGTGTTGATCGTATGATTGTATATCAACGTGCCGATTTTGATTGAATTTACGAACCGGAACTGTTAGGGTTTGTGAATCTTGGTTAAAGTGTTTGTGTGCGTGGTATCCGAAATTTTGCATAATTGAACAAACTGTGATCGGCTAAGCACTTTTCTCTGGAAACAGTTGCTACAGCATGACTTATTAATTTTATATGAATTTAGAAAGCATTTACATATTTTAATGATCACATTTGATCTCTGTTAAAGTGATATTGATACAAGTTCACCTGAATATTGCAGCTGTTAGAGGAATACATTGATATCGGTGAGCCGGAGACTCATAACTGTGTGATCAAGTTGGTTAGTAAACTTAATAAAGTATTTGCTTGCTCTTCTACGTTTTGTTGGTGTTTTAGGTAAAAGATCATCTTAGTTATGATATATTGAGGATTTGAAATAAGCTGTGTTGAACTATAAAATCTGATATGCACCAATGGATGAATTCGATGATGTTGAACTGCAGAGGGTAAGCCCTAAGAAGCGAAGGGAAAAGGTTTTGGTTGGTTGTGGTGCTGGTTTTGGCGGTGATAGACCATTGGCAGCTCTTAAGTTACTTCAAAAAGTTAAGGATCTCAACTACCTTGTACTTGAATGCTTAGCGGAGCGCACCCTTACTGACCGCTACCAAGCAGTGAAGTCAGGCGGTGATGGTTATGACCCTCGCAGTATGTTTTCATTATCCATTCTTTCTTTGGTCCTGTTGTAGAGCAATTCCACTTCAATTATTCTATATAAATTCAGATATTTTATGTGTACCTCAAAAGCCCATTCCCCTTTGCCGTGATTTTGGATGAGTTTACGCGAGAATTCAAAATGGTGTTCCTTGCTGTATGTTATTTGCTGATGATATTGCACTAATAATATAGTCTAAGGGTGAGGCAAACGCTAAGTTAGAGCGGTCGAGGGGAGTGTTAGAATCGTCAGATTTGCACATTAGTCGGTCTATGATAGAATACCTATGGTGTAGTTTCAGCAAGGAACACATTGACGACGGTGTAGAAGTAAGCATTGGGCAGCAAAGGGTAGCTGAAACATATAGTTATAAGTATCTAGGCTCAATGGTTCATGGGGATGGTAAGATTACACACGACGTTAAGCACCACATATAGGAAGGATGGTTGAAGTGGAGAGTGGCTACAGGATGTTGTGTGATAGGAGGGTACCATTAAAACTGTGGGGGGAATGTCTACAGGGTAGCCTTAGTTGTATGGTTGAGTGTTGGGCAGTGAAGAAGGCACAAGTGATGAAATTGGAAGTTGCAGAGATGAGTATGTTGAGATGGACATGTGGCTAGATCATGCTAGATAGGATTTGAAATGCAGTTTTACGGTCGGAACTAGAGGTTATGCCTGTCACAAATAAATTGAGAGGGTAAAGTGAGTTGGTTTGGGCATGTTTGTAGGAGACAGTTGACAGCACCGGTGAGGAAAGTGGAGTGTGTGACGGTTGAGGGGTAGGCCTAGGAGAACGTGGATTGACCAGCTGAGGATGGACTTGGCAGCTTTAGTCATTTCCGAGGACATGACTTCTTATAGGATTTCTTGGAGGCACAGGATTAGAGGGGCCGTTCTTCTAGTAGCATCTAGTAGAGGGTGACGTCAAAGGTATTGAGAGGAGGGTAGGGCTTAGTCAAATTGGCTCCTTGTAAGTTTCTACTTCTATTACATGTTTACCTGATTTCATCGTCCGCTTGCACACACCATTGAATCCTGGTTACCTGTTTCCGTTTTATTGTCTTATTGTCTGCTTGCACAAACTTTTTGTGTTGTGCACAAGCTGGGGGTCTCCACGGAAACAACCTCTCTGTCCTGGTGGTTGAGGTAAGGCATAAATACATCATACACCTTCCACACCCTACTTTCGAGTGGGATATACCGGGTTCATTTGGTTTGGTTTTTCTCAAAGGCTCAGAGCGAGAGTAATGAGAGAAGGGAGGTAAAACAGTATAAACCTCATAAAATATGGATTTTCTTTATTAGGATTCAAGAAAGGGAATCCATGGATCAACGTTTATGATATGGGCTTTAGTTTTTTTCCTAATTATTGGACAAATTTTGATATTGTAGCTGAAGAATTGTGTGTTTGACCTCAACAGTCACTTTAGGCTTCTTTCCTATCTTCCCTAATGCATTCAGATAGAGGAATGTTGCATCTCCATTGACCTTTTTCTGTTTCTGGTCTATGATTATGCAGTTTCTGAGTGGATGCAGTTGCTCCTTCCTTTGGCTGTTGAGAGAGGAGTCTGCATTATTACCAACATGGGTGCAAGTAAGCAACATAATCATATTCTTTTATATCTGTAAGATCTTCTATAAGCAGGGTCCTCATCAGTTGGACATATACCATATGTCCGATTGTTTACATGTGTTGGAATCTCGCATCGGCTAGACTTGGACCATTTCCCCTCCATATATGTTGGAACCTTCCTTCTCTCCACAAGGACTCTTTTGGAGAGTAATCTAATGAATTCCACATATGGTATCAGAGCCAAGGTCTGCCACTCTAGGGACTCGGCACTTTGGGGTAATATGTACTCGTCTAGCCCGCTCTCGACACTCTTGTCCATCTAGCTTCCGTTAGAGAGGGCATGTTGGAGTCCCACATCGGCTAGACTTGGACCATTTCTCCTCCATATACGTTGAAACCTTCCTTCTCTCCACAAGGGGATCTTTTGGAGAGTAATCTAATGAGGTTCCACATATTCTAATACCATGCATTTTCGTTTTTCTTGGAAGTAAATGCACTAGCTGCTCAGGAGAAGGTTTTGGAAGTTGCAAGCAGACTGGGTATCAGGATTACCGTGGGTGTGGCTCACCAATTTGATATTGCCAAAGCAGGTCTCGTGTCATTCTTAAGGCTATTTTTGTGAAGTTGGGCTGTTCTTTAGCTATGTCACCATTGACCATATGTTTTGGTTACGTATATATATTCAGGTCTTGATTCTCATCTGAGGAATGCAAACGGTGTAAGAATTCATTACTCTTGACGTACACTTCTTGTGTTATATTCCCTCCATCCCGAAATAAGTGTCCAAATTTCTATTTTAGTTTGTATCAAAATGAGTGTCCACTTTTAAAAGTAAGTGCCTACTTTTCAATTCTACCCTTAATTATTAGATGGAGAAATTCATTACTCCCTCTATTATCAAGGGTAAAATTGTCATTTAGTTAATTAGAAAGTGTAATAGTTACACTCTTTTTCTTTGTGGACATTTAGTTTGGGACGGAGAGAGTATCTGCATAAGCCGTAACTTTGTATTAGACTAGAAGGTATTCTTTGTATAGTTCCAGGTAGTTAGTTGGTATTCTTTGTATAGTCCAAGGGACTATTTTGTAACATCCATGTTTATATATTGCAATACAAGAGAGGGGGAAAGACGGGCATTTAGTTAAACTCTATTACTTTGAGCATCATGTTTTTAGCATGTAGTCTAATTCATTATAAGCACAATCGTGAACTACATAAATATTTCAGCCATTGGCCTCAAGCAACAGGAATTCCTGCTGATGAAAATTTGGAACTTTTTTAAAGCAAATGAACAGTTGGACCTATTACTGCTCCTTCTCCTTCCATCATCGTCGCATTGATATTTATAGTGATTTCCCCCTTTTTTTTTTTGCCTTGGATGATGCATACAGGATATAAGTATGTATCTAGGGGCAGCGCCAATAGTGGAGTGTCTTGAGAAGTACAACCCTAATGTTGTCATCACTTCTCGGGTTGCTGATGCTGCCTTATTTCTAGCTCCAATGGTATAAAATGCTTGTTTCTTCTATATGGCATGCTTATCTTGAAATTTGCACTTAACCTTTTTGGGCCCTGTAATGCAAAACTAAAGAGAATAGGATTATATTAGTCTAAAGCTGCCATCTTTTTTCATGATACATCTTTGTTTGTTCTGAAAAGTTCAACTTATAATAAAAGATTATCTTGTAGATACCATCAAAGAAACAGTGTTCAAAATGACATATATCAACATTTTTTTTCTTGATTGAAAAACTTGCAAGTTTCTTAAATCGCATCTGCATTTTTCTTTTGGTGTAATACGGGATTGATTTACCCAGAAATAGCAATGATCACATCACACAACAAAGACCAGGAGAGGAAACATACCCTTGGAGTGGGGGGAGCCAAACCAGGGGTCCTTTGGTTAAATGACCTTCTAACAGGGGTTTTTAAGTCCATGCCCTTCCAACAGACTTAAGAATGCCACTGCTTAACAGAAGAATGCTACTTCCATACACAAGAATACCTAGAAACCTGTTAGGAGGTCATGGTTTTAAAAAAGACTTGTCAGGATGTCCTTTAGCTAAATAACCCGCCAAACAAGGCAGACAACCACCAACCAAACAGTATTCAAGTTAGATTTTCCAATCCTTGGCCATTTGACAGTGGGTTGGACTCCAAAAGTCCGATTACCAAGATGCAAAATTTTGAGTATTGAGATGTAAAATTTTTGAGTTAGATTTTCCAATCCTTGGCCATTTGAAAGTGAGTTGGACTCCAAATTTTTTGAGTATTGACTATTGAGATGCAAGTTTTGGATTGCCTGGAGCAAAGCATTATGATTGTTTGTTACTTTAATATGGTATGGTTTAGATCAAAAGTAATAATTAATCTTTTGTTGATGTTTTCAAGGTTTATGAACTAGGTTGGAACTGGGATTCATTCCTGCTGCTAGCCCAAGGCTCTTTGGCTGGACACCTGCTAGAATGTGGCTGTCAACTCACTGGAGGATATTTTATGCATCCAGGTACTATATAGAATACTAGTCCATCTGTCTAAAATAATTGTTCATATTTCTATTTTAGTTTGTTCTATACAGCGTCCACTTTCAAAAGTAGTTGCTTACTTTCCAAATCTACCCTTAATTATGAGATGAAGAAACTCATTACTCCCTCTATAATTAAAGGTAAAATTGTCATTTAGATATAATAATTAGACATTAAACTGTGTGCCCTTTTCACTGTGGACATTTATTTTGGATGGAGGCAATACTTTCATATACCCCTGGCTCCATTTGATGCATACGCTTTGACTTTTGAGGTCAAACCTAGTACTTTTTATTCTCTTCATAAGTATCTACTATAGCTTTCATAATATTTCAAAATTATAGGGACGTGTACATAATCTAAATTTGAAAATTGCTATTTTTGGCCTCATAAGTCAAATGGATCACCTTTTTAGAACTGGTATAAAAATGCAACATTCTTGAAGGTTAAGATGCACACTCCATTTATCTTCTGATCACAGGAGACAAATATAGAGACATCCCTTATGCAAATCTGCTAGATCTTTCTCTTCCATTTGCTGAAATTACTTGTCATGGGGAAGTGTGTGTGGCAAAGGCCGATGGGAATGGTGGGGTGTTAAACTTCAGTACTTGTGCTGAACAACTTCTTTATGAGGTTGGGGATCCAGGTGCTTATATTACCCCAGATGTGGTGAGTTGCATCTCTGTGTCCATAAATAAGTGTCCACATTTTTATTTTAGTTTGTCCCGAAATAAGTGTCCACTTTCAAAAGTAAGGGTGCGTTTGGTACACTTGACAGGACAGAACAGAACATGGATCATTGTTCCATGTTTGGTAGGCCTTTTATGTGAAACAGACAAGAACAAAGTAGAATAGGCGTGTTCCACCCCCACCCCATGGAACAAGGTGGAACAAACCTATACTTTAACAACATAACCTCAAAATAAAACCTAATTCTCTTCTAGAACATCAAATATGCCTACCTCTTTATGTTTTATTCATTCTTTTTATTTTATTTACTGTATTTTATGCTCTTTAAACTTTCCCTATACTGTCCTCAAAATATTATTTTTTAATATGTTTTCTATATTTTGATTAATTTATGTAATTTATTAAATATTAATAATAAAAAATGATATAGAAAAAGTATAAAATAAAAATTAGAAACTACATAAACTTTTTATTTTTGGTGTCATTTTATTGTCGTGACGAAAACTTTGTAATATATTTTGTTATAAAAAATATTTTATTTTATATTATAATTTAATAAATTACATAAATTAATCAAAATATATAAAATATTTAAAAAACTCATTAGGGGTAAATTGGTCATTTTATCTGTTATGTCCTGTCCTGTCCTGTCATGTTTTGTCTTACCAAACGCTGAACAACTGTTCTGTCCTATCCTAGGATACCAAACACACCCTAAGTGTCTACTTCCCAATTCTACCCTTAATTATGAGATGGAGAAACTCATTACTCCCTTTCATTTACTTAATTGGAAAGTGTAATAATTACACATCTCTAAAACTCTGTGCCTTTTCCATTGTGGACGTTTATTTTGGGATGGAGGGCGTAAGTGAAAAGAAGAAGAAAGGAACTAAGCAGAACTTTCTTGAAGCAGGTGATAGATTTCCAAGATGTTTCATTTCAGTCATTATCAACCAATAAAATTCTCTGTGCTGGAGCAAAACCAGCTGCAGCATCTGTACCTGATAATCTTCTAGCACTAGCTTCAAAGGTATTTAGCAATATGATTTTACACGGGTTCACTTTTCACAAGCCGAGGGTCTTCACGGAAACCTCGGGGTAGAGGTAAGGTCTGTGTATACGGTACATCCTACCATTCCCATACCCTACCTCTGTGTGGGATATACCGAGTTTGGTTTGGTTTGGTTTTTAAATACATGAGTTCACTTAGGGTGCATTTGGTATCCAGGACATGACATGACAATTGTTCAGCGTTTGGTAAGACAGAACAAACAAAATGACCAATTTACCCCTAATGAGTTTATATATTTTTATAACATTTTGATTAATTTATGTAATTTATTAAATTACAATAAAATAAATACTTTTTATAACAAAATATATCATTAGAAAGTTTTCGTCAAGACGATTAAAATGATACCAAAATAAAAATAATATTTTGAGGGCAGGAAAGTGGAAGTTTAAAGAGCATAAAATACAATAAATAAAATTTAAAGAAATGAATAAAATGTAAAGAGGGAGGCGTATTTGGTGTTTTAGAAGAGAATTAGGTTTTATCTTGAGGTTATATTGGTAAAATATAGGTCCATTCCAACTTGTTCCATCGGGTAGGGTGGAACACTTTGTTCCACTCCGTTCCTCTGTTGATCCCTGTTCTGTTTTGTCCTATCCGGTGTACCAAACGCACCCTTAGGAATTTATTTTCTTGTTAAAGAAGGGTAAATACTTCCATCTGGTTTGGTTCTGACAGACCCACAAATAGAACTACCCATTCTTGTTTCAGAGTTTTCAAACTGAACCAAACTGCAAAACCACGCTGATCAATTTCAGCTTGTATCCATGGTTTAAATATTTTCTTCCACTGGAGTTTTATTTTTTTATTTAATAAATTGTTCCAGTACCAGACATATCCCCTTAAAACTGAGATCTTTAAAATAACATTATAAACAAGTCATGTCAGTGAATAAATGATTAAAATACAAGAGTGACCAATTTGAGTTCGTTTTAATACAAACATTTCTAATCCTGAGGGCCAGCTCAACTGGCACATAAAGGCTTTGGGGATCTTCTCTTAGGTTGCCAGCCAGTTCGAGTCTCCTCAGGATACACTGGGATTTTCCTAACTGATATCCTCAGGGCCCTGTGGGATTATTCGAGGTGCGCTCAACTGGTCCGGACACCCACGGTTACCAAAAAAACCCCGAACTGTTCTGTTCAATCAGATTTGCCTTATGTTGATTGGACATACACCCTTAGGGCCGGTCCGGTTTGTTGGATTTGGTGGGATTTGGAATTGGATTCCGTTCCAATCCTGTGTTTGGTTTGAAGGGAAGTCCTAAATTGAAATCCTGGGATTTCCACAAAATCTCACAAACATTGGATTTAGAAATTCCATGGGTGTAGTTTGCGGGATTTCAACAAAATCCCACAAACAATGGATTTAGAAATCCCGTGGGGGTAGTTGGGGTGTTTCACGTGATTTTTCAACAAAATACCACTAACATTGGATTTAGAAATTCTATTGTAACTGGGGTATTTCACGTGATTTCACAGGATTCGTTTGTGAAAATATTCTAAAATATGTTAAAAACATTCGTTTTTTAATAATCAATTAATAAAAAGTGATTTAATTGTTTTTATAAATTCTCTCTAAAGAATGGAATTTGATTCCATTCCAAATCCTACAAATTAAACACACAAAAGATTCCAAATCCTTTCTAATTCTAAATCTTTCCAATTCCAAATCCTTCCACAAAATCCAAATCCTA